AGAGAATGAACTGGAGAAAAAAGGGGAGGACGGAGGGAAGGGGAGAGGCGATGTGAGGGTACAAGATGTGGAGCGGTGCAGGATGTTGGCCGAATGGATGGACTTTGTTCCCCGCAGCAGCTGGAAGAGAATGAACTAAGTTGAGGAAGGATGGGGGAAAGGGGGAAAGGGAAGGGGTAAAACATGGAATACATGAGCAGGGAACGGGGACGGGGACGGGGACGGGGACGGGGACGGGGACGGGGACGGGGTCGGGGACGGGGTCGGGGACGGGGTCGGGGAAGGGAAAGGGAAAGGGGAAGGGGAAGGAGGGATTCTGGCAGAGTGGATATACTCGGTTCCGTGGAGCAGCTGACTGAATGACCTCATGCAAGCTCGGGATGCAAGCCCGTACAGGAGGGATGCTGGCAGAGGTTATCCCTCTGGCATGAGCTCGTACGCGATTGCAGCCTCACACCATAACGCGATCAGATCGATCTTTCACTTGCACCCACCCACCTTGTGCCACCACAGACGGCCCACGTCTAGTGCACAAGGTGAACCTCACATTGTAGTGCCCCCCACGCACCCACCTTGTGCCAGCCACTCACCCTGTAGTGCCACACGCCTTGCACCGCCAGGCCTTGCACACGGCCACTCACTCCACGCACCTTGTAGTGCCGTTCGTCCATGGCTTGCCCTGACCGAATGACCTCGTGCAGGTCCGTGGGCATGAGCTCGTAAACGATATACACGTCCTGGAAGCTCTGTGGGTTGGGCGGGCGGATGATGTCCTTGATGGCGATCACCTGGTGGGAGGGGGATGATGGGGAGATGGAGAGGGCAAAGGTGTGGGAGAGCAGTTAGTGGGCACGGGCTCATACACAATGTGCTCATCCAGATTCAACCAGAGGGAGAGTGAGAGAAGGCTCACATTGGGTAGGTTCAGAATGCATGGTGCGGAGGAGCACAGAATGCATCTTCTACAAGAGTGCTCATCCAGATTCAGAGTGTGATCACCAAACAAAACAGAGAGCCGGCTCACATTGGGGTGGTTCATGTTGCGGAGGAGCACAATCTCGCGGAGAGTCCGCTTGGCGTCTGTGCGGTCGTTAAACGCCTTGCCGATCTTCTTGATCGCCACCTCCTCGCCAGTCGTCTCGTCTCGTGCAGAGCTGACAGGGAAGAAGAAGATAAAAACTCTTTTTTGAAGACGCATATTAAAAATATTCACAACCGTTACCTCCCTCCTAGTCGTCCAAGCTCTTCCAGGACTGTGAAATGAATGAAATTTTCGTGCACATAACATTCATGCTCAGCATAGGTCAACACTCAGGTCCGCACGACCAAAGAATAGTAACTGGTTAAGAATGTGATCCAAATGAGTGTGATCCGAATGAGATTGATCTGAATGAGAGTCCGTAATGGCTGCACGATTGATTATTATAGCTCTCAACTCAACCGCTAAGTTTGAAATCGACATTGGTTCTCCTAATCGCGCTGCCCTCACACTTCCATCTACCACCACCAGTGGCTCACCAGACAATGCCGTAGGCGCCTCGGCCAATGGGGACGAGCGGGACGTAGCGCACGGGGACCTCGAATATGATTCCGTAGAAGCTGTAGCGTCTGTAGCGGCCGTCGTACGTCAGCGTGCCCTCCTTGGGTATTTGCACGCCGTCTGCCCCTTGTGACGCGTCCTCCTGCGTCATCGTCTCGTCCCCCTGCCGTGAAATGGATGTAATTAGAAGGGATTCGTGAAGCTGTAGTGTCTGTAGCGGCCGTCGTACGTCAGCGTTCCTTCCTTGGGTATTTGCGACGCGTCGTCCTGATTCATCGTCTCGTCCTCCTGCCGCGAATCATAAAAAGCTAGTGAAATTGACTATTGAGAAGTCTGAAGGCTTGCGACGCGTCTTCCTGAAGCATCGTCTCGTCTTTCTGCCGCGAGATCGGACAGGAAATGGATGGTGTGAGAACGACATTTGAGACATGTCAGAGCCTAAGATTGGCATATCAGGGCCGGCATATCAGAATTTGTTCTCTTGGTGCATCGACTCCCTGCCGCGAGATGGATCAGTTAGGAAGGTATGCTGAGATTCTTCGAAAAGAAATCATCCCCATTGTATAAACGTCGCGATTTAGCGGTCAAGATGCTTCCATCTTGCTAGCATAGCAGAGTCATTTTTTGAATTCAACTGGAAATGTGCATCTTAGCTCATAACACACACGCTTCTGACAGGATTTTCTCAAGTTGCTTGAATTATAGTAATGATTTAGCCGCCCGGTATACGTCTGCGACTCTTAATACACCTGATATGCGAGAGGAAATTCATGGGTAACAACATTAGGAAGGGCTAACCTGCGGCCGTAGTAGTTCGGAAGCCATTTTTGAGATGCCGTGAGATCGCAGGACACTTTTGAGTCGACTCAAAAGTCACCTTGCCGTGAGATCACAGGACAAGGCACAACGACGAGCCTCGCTCTCGTTGGAAAAAGCGGGATGCGAAACGCTGAACCGTCTAGAAGCAATGCAGGTAGATGCTGGATGAAAATACGGCAATGGCGGCCTTCGGTAGAGACTGCTTCGCGAGTAGCTACCCAGAGGAGCAAGTGCTAGCTTACTCGTACGGACAATAAGCAGAAAACTTTGGCTGCAAACACTTTCTCCCTGACTAGCTAATAACTACCAGCAACCTGCAAGCAAGTCCGGATGCGCGCAAATACGTGAGTCCGATAAGTCTGGACCTTCTAGTACACGTCTGGCTGAGGGAGATCCTCGCACAGGAAGGCCTATCCTGCCTCGAATCCCGAGAGGGGAGAGTCCCTAGGTTCCCCCATTTTACCGTCTCAAAACGCAACGGAACTTACTGAACCGCAGGCCCTCGGTTAGGGGTCCCAGAACTGGGTGAATGACATTCACATGCAACTTTGGGGTAGAAAACCGTTTAGCGAGTTATCATATTGTATAGCGTATATGCCCGAGCCAAAGACGAGTTGGGAAGGGAACTGGTGAGCGCATGTGGGCCTGGCTTGGAGAGGCGGAGCCTCTCAGCAGTTGGTGTTTCTCTTCACACTGCAAGGTGTGGAGTGGAAGCGAAGGGGGGTGAAGTGAAGGTGGTCGGGAAGGGGAGGTTTGTTTGGTGAAGAGGGTTGTTTGGGAAGGGAGGGGTGAATGGTGTCGTTTCGAGGTTCGAGTCCAACCAACATCGCGTCCCCCCCACGGCTGTCGATTCAAGGGCATTCGCCCTAATGCCCTGAACATTCCGGGCGAACTCACAGCCAGCTTCGGCATTTCAAAGGGTTGGTTTCGACGGAAGCCCGTTTTTCTTACGGGCTGGTTTTGAGAAATAGGGGGTCCTAGCCCGGATCCGTTAAGGGATGATTCGGGGCCTTTCCCTGAATTCCCGGATCAGGAGTAGAGTAGCCCTGCGAGTTGCCCAAGTTGCCACTCTAAATCCTCCCACTCTCATCCTCCCTGTATCTCCCACAAGCTATCTACTTAGGCACGAAAGGACTTTCTTGTGTTGATGTTATGGCTGTAGTTGCAAAATATTTTCAAGTCAATTCGTCTCCTCACAGTTCCAAGTACTCACACTGGACTCGCGACACTGACACCCTACGAGGCCAAGAGGAAATTGCCCCATCAGTTCACACTAGTAGTACTACATGGAAAACGACCACCTCGGAAGTGCTTTGCGATTGTACACACGAGTTTAAGCGACTTCTTTGCTGACGATGTTTTGCCCTACGACCCCTCTCCTCCCCCCCCCCCCCACCCCACTTCCCCCCTCGCTGTAGGTATGCAGATGAGTCGTTAGCATACTCCTTCTCGCTGCTAAGTAATAGGTTGAAGCCCGGATGTCACGTTTTGTGCCATTACGGCTCACGTACATTTTTGTAGGAAGCCCGGATGTCAAGTTTTGAATTTGACCTGCGCCCGTGATCGTTAAGGGCTAAAAAACGGTCACCTTCGCGAAAATCAGGGCCAAACTTCGAACAGCTCATAACTCAAAGTGTTGGTCCCAGGGACTTCGACAGGCCTGGTCCCCCCCACCCCCACCCCCACCCCACTCCCACCGCTCCACCCCCCTCCCCCGCCTGACTTCGTGGGAATCCTGGGAAATTATCGGACCACTGCACTGTACTTGAGCTTGAGATTATCGAGCCGCACCGCAACAGAGCTCCAACAAGGGCATTGCTGGACACGCCACACGACACGGCATCCCCAAGGACAACCTGACCTGACACACCCACACTGGGCAGCCGCGAAATAAACGGTTTCCCTCCATGATCGAGCCAGCCAGTGGCGACCCGTGCCAGCGGGAAAGGAGTGTTTTCGGTCATGTTTCAGGGCAGAAAGCTCTTAAAAAGCACCTGCTTGTCTCACCACACCACCAGCCATATTACATTTTCCTTGACCAAATAATAGCCTGTCTGAACTGAATCCTCGAGTCACCCCATCCAATAATTCCCATATCCCATCCATTTCCCTCATCCACGGCCGTTTTCCCTCTCTATGAGCCGTGTCCCATGCAATTATAGAAACGCGTTATGGAAGCGCAGTAGACCCATTCCCTGCGATTGCTGTCCCGCTTGTGATAGGTTAGTCCGCGTTAGATTCATAAGAACTAGCGTTATGCATCGTCTCCATCCCGTTTCTGCACAAGAATCATCGCACTCCAGGAAAGCAAGCCTAGCTGGCACGTCCGTGACGCACAACCGCCACAGTGTTCGACCGTTCCAGTCTAATCCTCAGCCTAGAGCTATCCTTAGTGGAGCAATAACGTCCGAAACTGAGTAGCTTTTGAGATGATTCAAAAGCAACCATAATACAGCCGCCTTTCAGAGAGGAAGTAAACAAGCAAATTCAGTGCTGCTCTGTTCGCGTTACCCTCGGTTTCCTCCTAAGTTAAACGCACCATTCCATCATCTCGACCCCGTCGCGTTTCCAGCGCGTTTTCGTTCATTCAACTGTTAATTAAAGCTTGCGAAAAGAAAGGCCTTGCTAAGCCGCTTCAGCGATGGAGCGAGACCGACGTCTTCCCGAGCATGGAATCCCACCAGAGCCTCCAACGGTCGACTCCGCCCACGCCGCCGCCGCCGCCGCCTTACCCTCCCCAAGGACCGACGTTGGAACGATTCCCGGCTTCTTCGCATCGGCGGAGCGCGCCCCGAGCACTTCCGGGATTTTCGAGCGCGGCTCCGGCTCCTCGGGAGGAGTGGTCGAGCGCACCGGCAGCACTTCCCTTTACACCCCAAGATGGGCACGCGGGGCGGCGGGAGCGCCCGTACCCCCTTCCGCCATGGCCTCCGCGGCTGCCGCCGCAACAGCCGCCGCGTCAGCCTCCGCGTCTGCCGCCGCCGCCGCCGCTGCCGCAGCAGCCGTGCCTGGTTCGGACCCAACCACTCCTAGCGGCCCGTTGACGGCTCCGTTAGACGTCAGTTTTACGTCCACTAACCCTCCGACTCCGTTAGGGCTTCAGCAAGGCTTCCCGGGCTTCCGGCCGCGGGATCCTGAGCACGACAGGCGGAATCTATCCATGGAGATGCCGGAACCCCCCCCTCGGCGGAGAACCCGCCCCGTCTCTTCCGCCATCTACCCCCGCCCGCACCCCGTCGTTTCCCCCGGCGACGGCGCGGCACACCGCGGAATGGGCAGCGATTTGAGCGGAGACGCTCGGCTGTGGTCCCCGTCGCAGCATCTCCAGCGCGGGCGCATGCCGGAAGCCGCCTTTCCCAGTTACCGCCCGGGCGACAGCGGGATTCTCCGCGGCGGGAGGCGGCCCGGCGGGCCCATGTCCGGGCAGTTCCCCGGCCCGGGCATGGGAAAGTCGGGCATGATTGGCCAGTCGGGGCTGATCGGGCAGTCGGGAATGTTTCCCCCGCCGTCGGCGATCCCCCAGTCGGGGTCGTGGGGGGGGACTGCCCCGAACACGCCGAGCATACCAAAATCGAATATAGTGCAGAAATCGATGATCATGTGCATGGATCCGACGTGTAACAAATGCCCCCCCGAGATGCACGCGCTGCGGAACCGGAAGCTCATGGCGGCGGCTATTGACGAGTTCCCGCAGCCGCTGGCGTCGAAAGACGGGCGCGGCGGGGGGAGGCGGGGGAGCGACGGGGCCGGGGACGGGGGAGGCGACGGCGGAGGACGTGGCGGAGGAGGATTGGACGATTTTGAGTATGATTTCGACGAGTTTGATTTTGAGGATGACGAGGAGTATGACGAGGAGACGGGCGGGAAGAGAACCATCATTCGCTGCTGCGGCCTGCCATGCTTTGTCTTCACCAGCCGGGTTGGTTGTCAAACCCCCCCTCCCTTCAACCCCGCTTTCTTCCACTGCCCTTATGAGAATACCCCGCTCTCTTTCGCTACCCCGCTCTCTTTCGCTACCCCGCTCTCTTTCGCTACCCCGCTCTCTTTCGCTACCCCGCTCTCTTTCGCTACCCCGCTCTCTTTCGCTACCCCGCTCTCTTTCGCTACCCCGCTCTCTTTCGCTACCCCGCTCTCTTTCGCTACCCCGCTCTCTTTCGCTACCCCGCTCTCTTTCGCTACCCCGCTCTCTTTCGCTACCCCGCTCTCTTTCGCTACCCCGCTCTCTTTCGCTACCCCGCTCTCTTTCGCTACCCCGCTCTCTTTCACTACCCCGCTCTCTTTCGCTACCCAGCTCTCTTTCGCTACCCAGCTCCCTTTTGAATAAGCATACCGATCTCGTACCCCCGCTCTTCCTCCCTCTCCCTCTCTCGTCCTCGCATTTCCTCCGCCGTCCATGAACAATTCCAATCATTCAACGTCCCCCCGCTCCCCTCTCTCTTCCCCCCTTCCCCTTCCCCAACTAGCCCGCTGTGGCACGGCAAGCGCCTGTCGCGTATGCTGGGGTTCTACTAGTCTTTCAAAACCCTTCCCTTCCCCCCCACGCACACCCCCTTCTCCCCGCCCGTCCTAATGGCAGGGCAAGCGCCGGTCGCCCATGCTGGGCTTTTTTCGGTTCGTGGAAGGGTTGGTGCAACCCGTGGGCATCCTCAACCCGCACTCCAGGTGGGGCTGTGGAGCATGTTTGCTTCCAGTGTATACGTGTATTTTATATGCGGCGTATGACTACCGTTTCCATGCTTGGGCTCTTCCGGTTCGTGGAGGGGTTGGAGCAACCCGTGGGCATTCTCAACGCGCACTCCGGGTGGGGCTTTGTTGCATGCTTCTGGTGTATATATGCATTCTATGTATGTATATGTGCACGAATATGCATCTGTCTATTTATGTATGTATATGCCTTATCCACCTTTCCCCATTCAGGTTCGTGACGCAGTGTAACAATTGGTTCATGGTCACGTGCATATATTCATTCACTGCCCTGCCCTGTGCTGTGCCCATCCGCCCCCCTATGCCCATCTCTCCCCCTTGCCTCCCCTTGCCCTGGTTCGTGGCGCAGTGGAACAAGTGGTGCATTTTGACGTGCATCTTTGGCTGCTGTATCGACCCATGGTTCCCCCTGTCCTGTCCTGTATCGACCCATGGTTCCCCCTGTCCTGTCCTGTATCGACCCATGGTTCCCCCTGTCCTGTCCCTGCCCCTATCCGTCCCCCCTTGCTTCCCCCGTCCACCACTCCCTACCGCCCCCCTCCCCAGGTTCGTGGCGCAGTGGAACAAGTGGTCCATGGTGGCGTGCATCTTTGGCTGCTGTATCGACCCATGGTTCCCCTGTCCTGTCCTGTCCTGTATCGACCCATGGTTCCCCCTGTCCTGTCTTGCTCCATTCGTTCCCCGTTGCTCTGCCCCCATGCTCCCCCTCCTCCCGACCCAGGTTCGTGGCGCAGTGGAACAAGTGGTTCATGGTGACGTGCATCTTTGGCTTCTGTATCGACCCATGGTTCCTCTTCACGCTGCTCACCATGTTCTCGCCCTCCAAGGTATGTTCAAGTGCACGTGGTTACCAGCACGTGGCTCGTGGTTACCAACATGTGGTTACCATCTGTATCACCTACAGCAGTGGCACTGCATTGAACCATGTTTCCTCTTCACGCTGCTCACCGTGTTCTCGCCCTCCAAGGTATGTTCAAGTGCACGTGGTTACCAGCACGTGCTTGCGGTTACCAACATGTGGTTACCATCTGTATCACCTACAGCAGTGGCACTGCATTGAACCATGGTTCCTCTTCACGCTCCTCACCGTGTTCTCGCCCTCTAAGGTAAACACACGGCAATGGCGCATGCACTCGTCAACCTCTTGGGCCCTGGCACACCATGCAGCACAGCACTGGCATTGCACTGACACCATTTTTGAGGCGCCTCAAAAATGCAGCACACCACTGGCACTGCACTGACACCTGTTTCCTCTTCACGCACGTCACCATGTTCTCGGCCTCCAAGGCTTGCTAGAATGTACCTGGTTACCAGCACGTGGTTACCAGCACGTGGTCCAGCATGTGGTTACCATTCATATCATGTGGTCCGTTGTACCTCTAATGTGGCCCTCTATACTTCTGATGTTGCCCTTCCCACTCCCCATTTCTCAGCCCTCATTTCTCACTCCCCATTTCTCTATCCCCATGTCTCACTCCCCATTTCTCACTTCCCATTTCTCGCTCCCCACTTCTCACTCCCTATTTCTCACTCCCCATTTCTCACTCCCCATTTCTCGCTCCCCATTTCTCACTCACTCCTCTTTCTCTCCTCAACATTCTCAGGTCACCCTGTGTTTGGACATCAATTACCCTGCTGCCATCACCCTCACTCACAGTGATGCTTTACCGTTTATCTCGAACGCTGCCCCCCTCTCACTCACTCCCCTCTTTCTCACCTCACGCGACCCCTCACTGTATATCTCACTCTCCTCTCACTTCACTCCCATCAGGTCACCCTGTGTCTAGACATCAACTACCCTGCAGCCATCACCCTCACTGTGATGCGTTCAATCGTGGATCTCATGTATCTTATAAACATATTCATACAGGTAAGCAAGACTTCCAGACACGTCTAGTGTGTGTTGCTCGCAGAGAGGTAACTTGCATGCATTCCTCCTGAGCTGCTGCCATCACGCTCACTGTCATGCGTTCAATCGTGGATCTCATGTATCTCGTCAACATCTTCATACATGTGCGTGTGATTGACCGCAACAGGTGTGTGTGACTTGTGTGTTCATTCATGCTCAAACCTCAATCGTTGATCTTATGTTCCTCATCGACATTTTCATACCAGTGCGTGTGGCTCGTACTGAAACTTCGCCGAATTTATTGACCCAATAATTTTCAGCATTTGTATTATACAGGTGCCGAGTTAAAGCCCGGGTCTCATGTAAGAGAATCTGCCTTCAACTGCAAAACATTTGAAGCTAGGTCTCCCTGTTTGAGTAGGCGAAGTTTAGTGGTAGGTGTTTTGAGACGTCTCAAAACAGGCAGATTCAGTGTGCGACACCTTCACGATTTTGCCCCTGATTCAAGCGCAAAACAAATTGCTGGGTACTTGAGACTTTCTGGAACCTGGTACATTTGGCTGGTGATTTTGCTTCGGCACCGAACCAAAATTCGAACCTAGAAGGTTTGGTTGCACCCTGCGATTTGTGTTTCCTTCGCGCCCCTCAATACACCCCTCGTCAAACTTTACACCTCGCCAAGCATTCCTAGGCTAGGTCCATTCATCAACTGCAAAACAAATGAACTACGTGAGACCCTGGTTTTAATTAACAAAAGCACATTGAGACATAATACATTTCAAAACAACATCAGGATCTCAAAATTACATGAATGGATTGTATAAATTATACCTAAGCCTATTTCGCCCCAGCGCCCAGCAACCGCTCCTACAGGTGGAGCTGCCTCCTCCACTCTAGACTCATGGCGATTCCCCCCCCCGCTTCCCCTCCTCTCCCCCTGCCCCTCTTCGCCCCTGCTCCTACAGGTGGAGCTGCCTGCGCTGATGGAATGCGGAGCCCTCTAAGCTCACTTCCCCAGCAGTCTTGACTTGTTGCCCTCCACATCCCTCCCTTACCCATTACCCCCCCCCCCCCCCCCCCCCCCCCCCCCTCCCCCCCTCCCTCTCCTACCAGTTCCGCATGGCCTATTTCGCCCCAGCGCCCAGCAACCGCTCCTACAGGTGGAGCTGCCTGCGCTGGTGGTACGCGGAGACCTCTCAGCTGGAACCGGGGGACATGGAGACGGACACGAGGGTGATTGCCATGCGCTACCTCAAGTCCTGGTTCCTCGTGGACCTCGTCTCCACCTTCCCCATCCCCCAGGTGAGTGGGATAGGATTGATATGCTCGTCCAGGTAAGGCTGGCGGCACGCTGAGCCCTCTCAGACAGCGGCCCCAGGCCGGGGGACATGGAGATGGACACGAGGGTAGGGTCATTCCTTGCCCTGCGCTACCTCAAGTCCTGGTTCCACAAGGGTTGACCTCGTCTCCACCTTCCCCATCCCCCAGGTGAAGGTCTGAGCCCTGTTGGCCCACATCCTCCCCCCAACCCCCCACTGGCAGCAATGCCTTTGACCCGTATTCCCCCTGGTATGGTACTCCCCTTTCGAGAATTCTCAAGAGTGACGTAAGGTCGAAACCGTTAAACGCCTTTTGAGTGACGTAATGGTATTTTCATGTTTAGCACCTTCTTCCCTCGCCTTCCTCACTTCCTCTTCCCCTCCCTCCCCCGCACCATCAGATCTTCATCCTAGGGATCGTCCCAGCGCTGGGCAAGAGCCTCCCCACAGCAGCAAACACGTGGATCGCCGTGCTCATGCCCCTCCCGCTCTGCATCCAGAACGTCCCCTGTGTTGCCCGCTTCTTCCCTTCCCATCCCATACCGGCCCTCCCCTACAGATCTTCATCCTAGGGATCGTCCCAGCACTGGGCAAGCGCGTGGCCACAGCAGCCAACATGTGGATCGCCGTCCTCACCCTCCTCGCGCTCTGCATCCAGAACATCCCCCGTGCTGGCCGTTTCTTCCCTCAGCACCTCCCTTCCCTTCCATTCCATTCCCTCCCCTCCTCTCCCCTTCATTTTCCTCCGTTCCTCTGCACCATATACCATCCCTCCAGCCTCCATCCCTCCCCTCTTTTCTGCCTCTTTCTGCCCTGTCCCCATCAGATCTTCATCCTGGGAATCGTCCCAGCGCTGGGCAAGAGCGTGGCCACAGCAGCCAACACGTGGATCGCCGTCCTCACCCTCCTCGCGCTCTGCATTCAGAACGTCCCCCGTGCCGCGCGCTTCTTCCCGCTGCTGGCGGGCACGGCGCCGCATGTGACGGGCTTTGTGTTTGAGACCGCGTGGGCCAATTTCCTCCTCAACCTGGTGTTCTACCTCATGGCGTCGAATTTCGTGGGAGGAGTGTGGTACATCCTGGCTGTCGATGTGAGTGCCTGCCTTCTTTCCCCTTCCTGCCCCTTCCTCTCCGTCCGTCTCCTGCTGCCGTGCTGTTGGTGTGAGTGAGTACGAGTCCTCCTTCCCCGTGCCGCGCGCTTCTTCCCGCTGCTGGCGGGCACGGCGCCGCATGTGACGGGCTTTGTGTTTGAGACCGCGTGGGCCAATTTCCTCCTCAACCTGGTGTTCTACCTCATGGCGTCGAATTTCGTGGGAGGAGTGTGGTACATCCTGGCTGTCGATGTGAGTGCCTGCCTTCTTTCCCCTTCCTGCCCCTTCCTCTCCGTCCGTCTCCTGCTGCCGTGCTGTTGGTGTGAGTGAGTACGAGTCCTCCTTCCCCGTGCCGCGCGCTTCTTCCCGCTGCTGGCGGGCACGGCGCCGCATGTGACGGGCTTTGTGTTTGAGACCGCGTGGGCCAATTTCCTCCTCAACCTGGTCTTCTACTTGATGGCCTCAAAATTCGTGGGAGGCGTGTGGTACATTCTCGCTGTTGATGTGAGTGCCTGCCGTCCCCTTCCTTCCCCTTCCTTCTCCTGCTGCCGTGCTGTTGGTGTGAGTGAGCGCGAGTCCAAACCCTTCCTGCCTTCCCGCTGCTGGCGGGCACGGGGTGCATGTGACGGACTTGGTGTTTGGGCTTTGTACTGCTTGCCCAATCTGGTGTTGTACCTCATGGCGTCGAAGTTCGTCGGCGGAGTGTGGTACATCCTTTCAGTTGATGTGAGTGCTTCCCTTTGACTTTTGAGTCGACTCAAAAGTCGTCGAAGTTCGTCGGCGGAGTGTGGTACATCCTTTCAGTTGATGTGAGTGCTTCCCTTTCCCCCACCCTGCTGCCTTGCTGTCGACTTGAGTGCTGCCTTCCTTGTTTCCTGCCTTCCTGCTTTCCTGCCTGCCTGCCTGCCTGCCTGCCTGCCTGCCTGCCTGCCTGCATTCCTGCCTGCCTGCCTGCTTTCCTGCCTGCTTTCCTGCCTGCCTGCCTGCCTGCCTGCCTGCCTGCCTGCCTGCCTGCATTCCTGCCTGCCTGCCTGCTTTCCTGCCTGCCTGCCTGCCTGCTTTCTTGCCTGCCTGCCTGCATTCCTGCCTGCCTGCCTGCATTCCTGCCTGCCTGCCTGCTTTCCTGCCTGCCTGCCTGCCTGCATGCCTGCCTTCCCGCTGCTGGCGGGCACGGCGCCGCACGTGACGGGCTGCCCTCCTTGTTTCTCTCCTTCTTCTAGTCTTGCAACACTACTGCCCATGTCGTACCCTCTCACTCCCTGTCCTTCTCTCCTCTTCTCTTCTCCCAACACTCCCTTCGGGCCTTTTCCCGTCCTCCCTCCCACCAGCGTTTCAGCGAGTGCCTGCAAAACGTCTGTGCCAACACCAAGGGCTGCAACCCCACCTACCTCTACTGCGCCAACACCAACGCCCCAGTCACCACCGTCGCCTCTGCGGACCTCTTCTCACCGCAATACAGCAACACGAACGTCACCACATGCCTGTACACCCCGGGGGACGACAAGACGACACAGTCGCCCATCCCGTACGGGGTGTTTGCAAATGCCATCCCGCTCACGGCGAGCCGGGACGTGGTCTCCAACTACCTCTACTCCTTCTTCTGGGGCCTGCAGGTGCGCCAATCGGCCCTAAGGTGTGCCTCTCTAGTGGAACGCGTGCTTTAGTGCTGAAGCATCACATCACAATAGAAGGGCACACCTCCCCCATCGCGTACGGGGTGTTTGCAAATGCCATCCCACTCACGGCGAGCCGGGACGTGGTGTCCAACTACCTCTACTCCTTCTTCTGGGGCCTGCAGGTGCGCCTCTCCCTTGTCCTCACCACAGCAAGTGAAGTGAGCACAGATTGCTGTGGGGGAGTGAGCACCACAGATTGCTGTGGGAGAGCACGCTGTGTGGCAATCTGCTTTTGAGTCGACTCAAAAGAGCTGTGTGGCAATCTGCTTTTGAGTCGACTCAAAAGCGCTGTGTGGCAATCTGCTTTTGAGTCGACTCAAAAGCGCTGTGTGGCAATCTGCTTTTGAGTCGACTCAAAAGCGCTGTGTGGCAATCTGCTTTTGAGTCGACTCAAAAGCGCTGTGTGGCAATCTGGTGCCGTTGCTATTCGTCATCCTCGTCACCACTCAACTCTCCTGTCCCCTTTTCCCTTCCCTTCCGCCCCCACCTTCCTACTCCCCTCCCCTCAACCCACCCACAGCAAGTGAGCACGCTGTGCGGTAACCTCTCGTGCCGTCATGGTGGGACGTGGAGGTGCTGTTTGTCATCGTCGTCATCATCATCGACCTCCTGCTGTTCCTGCCTCCCTCACTCTCCTCTCCCCTCCTCTCTCTGACCCCTCTTCCACCTCCTCTCCCCTGCCTCCTCATCGCAGCAAGTGAGCACGCTGTGTGGAAACCTGGTGCCGTCGCGGTGGGACGTTGAGGTGCTATTCGTTATCGTCGTAACAATCATCGGTCTGCTGCTGCTGGCTCTCCTCATCGGCAACATCTCCAACTACCTCCAGTCGCTCAACAGAAGGTAGGTGCAGTGTGGTGCGATGCGGTTACTGACAGTATAGCAGTTACCACACAAGTAGCCATCAGTAGCCAGCAGTCGCCATAATCGGTCTGCTGCTGCTCACGCTCCTCATTGGCAACATCTCCTCCAACTACCTCCAGTCGCTCAACAGAAGGTGAGTAATATGGGGGACGTTAACGGTTTAATTTTTACCGGTGTGGTTACCACACAAGTAAGTCGTCACCATCATCGGTCTGCTGCTGCTGGCGCTCCTCATTAGCAATATCTCCTCATATTGGCCCTCCTCTCGACCTCCTCTCTCGAACGGTCTTTTCATTGATGTAGAAAATGAGGTACAGACAAATGCAAGGAATGTGCAAGGAAAGCCTACTACATATATGGGACTAACCCTTCTATTCTCGAATGGTCCTTGAATTACTTAAGGGGTGGTTCTTCTATTCTCTCTCTCTCTCCTCTCCTCTCCTCTCCCCCCCAACAGGTCCTTTGAGTATCAGCTACAGCGACAGGACATCGACTCGTGGATGCAGCGCAGGAACCTTCAAGTCGACTCAAATGTTCTCTTTACCTTCCTCTCCTTTCCCCTCCCTTTCCCTCCCCCCTCCCTTCTCTCCACAGGTCCTTTGAGTATCAGCTTCAGGGACACGACATTGACTCGTGGATGCAGTGCAGGAACCTTTGCGATGCACATGCTAGCAGTGCCATGCCTCAACGTCCCTCCCCTTCTTTTGAGGCGCCTCAAAAGGTGCCATGCCTCAACGTCCCTCCCCTTCTTGTCCTTTCCCCTCCTCTCCCGCTCTGCAGGTCATTCGAATATCAGCTTCAGCGCCACGACATCGACTCGTGGATGCAGCGCAGGAACCTTCCCGTTGACCTCCAGAAGTAAGCTTTCTTCCCAGAACCTTCCTGTCGACCTCCAAGTGTAAGCTTCCCAGAACCTTCTGATGCTTTCCGACGCTTAGATTGGAGAGGCTAGGATTGTCTGTGCCCGTGGTTTTGCGCAGTGTAGTTGTTGTCTTAACCCAAACGCGATTCGCATTTCAACCTGTTGACTCCATTCACTTTCTCTCCCCACAGGCAAGTGCAGGCGCAGCTGCAGCTGCGGCTGCAGTGGGCGGCGATTCGAGGCGTGGAATAGGCAGAGTTGCTGGGCACCCTTCACGTGCAACCCACTTGACTTTGTTGACTTTGTTGACTTTGTTGACTTTGTTGACTTTGTTGACAACCCACTGGACTCCCCCTCTCCCCGACACAGGCAAGTGCAGGCGCAGCTGCGGCTGCAGTGGGCGGCGACTAGAGGCGTGGACGAGGCAGAGCTGCTGGACAGCTTCTCGGACTCCATTCAGATCGACCTCCGCCGCTCGCTGTGCCTCGAGCTGCTACAATGCGTGAGTTCGCCTGGCGTAGCGAGGTACAGTACGGTGTGTTACGGTATGATGTGGTAGGGTGTGAGGAGCAGAGCTGCTGGACAATTTCTCAGACCCCATTCAGATTGACCTCCGCCGCTTGCTGTGCTTGGAGTTACTGCAATGCGAGAGTGTTGTGTGGTTTGGAGCGGTACAGTACGGTACGGTACGGTATGGTGTCGAATGGTCTTGTATGATAGGGTGTGAGGCAGAGCTGCTGGACAGCTTCTCCGACTCCATTCAGATTGACCTCCGCCGCTCGCTGTGCTTGGAGTTACTGCAATGCGTGAGTGTTATGTGGTTTGGAACGGAACGGTACGGTACGGTACGGTACAGTAAGGTGCAGTGATGGTAATGTATGGTAGATGTGAGGCATAGCTGCTGGACAGCCTCTCGGACTCTATTCAGATTGACATCCGGCGCTCGAAAGCTACTCCACCCCTCCTCAGCTCCCTCCCGGGACCCCTCTTCCTTGCAAGGAGCAGCTACCCCAGTTCCCAACACCCCTCTCCTTCCTCCTTCCCCCCTTCCCGTCCCCTTTCCGCCACCTCTTCCCCTCCCACTCAACAGTCCGTGCTCTTCTGTGCCATGGAACCCCCAGTCCTGGACGCCTTCTGTGCGCGCCTGCAGCAGCAGATCTACACAGCCGGCTCAATGATCATACGAGAGGGCTACCCCGTGACGCGCATCTTCTTTGTCCTCCGCGGCGAGCTTGAGAGCTCGATGGCTTCTCCACGTTCTCCTTCTCCCCATTCTCCTGTGATCCTCACTCCCTCTCCTTCCTCCCTCCTTTCTCCCTCCTTCCCCCCCTCCTCTCCCCTCTAGTCCAAGCTGTTTTGTGCCATGGAGCCGCCAGTCCTGGACGCCTTCTGTGCGCGCCTGCAGCAGCAGATCTACACAGCAGGTTCAATGATCATACGAGAGGGCTACCCCGTGTCGCGAATCTTCTTTGTCCTCCGCGGCGAGCTCGAGAGCTTCTCAACGTTCGGCGGGCACACGGGGATGGTGGACACTGTGGTGCTGGGCAAGGGCGACTTCCTGGGCGAGGAGCTTCTGGTGGAATGTCTCGAGAGGCTGTCGACTGCCAGTGGGAAGGGCTCGGGGCGATCCCTTACCATGAGGAGATGTGAGTCTCTGTCTGTTGTTGTCTGGGTTTGTTGAACGGGAAGGGGAGGGTTGCGGGAAGGGCTTGGGGCGATCCCTTACCATGAGGAGATGTGAGTCTCTGTCTGTTGTTGTCTGGGTTTGTTGAACGGGAAGGGGAGGGTTGCGGGAAGGGCTTGGGGCGATCCCTTACCATGAGGAGATGTGAGTCTCTGTCTGTTGTTGTCTGGGTTTGTTGAACGGGAAGGGGAGGGTTGCGGGAAGGGCTTGGGGCGATCCCTTACCATGAGGAGATGTGAGTCTCTGTCTGTTGTTGTCTGGGTTTGTTGAACGGGAAGGGGAGGGTTGCGGGAAGGGCTTGGGGCGATCGCTCACCATGCGGCGATGTGAGTTTCTTTCTGTCCTTGCTTGGAAACGGCCATGTGGGAAGGGGGCAGACCCTCAGGTCAAGATGTGAGTATGATTCTGTCCTTGCATGGGAAGGGGCGTGGCAAGGGGCGCATGGAAGGGGCACATGGGGATGGTGGATACAGTGGTGCTGGGCAAGGGGGGCTTTCTGGGGGAGGAGCTTCTGGTGGTGGAGTGTCTCGAGAGGCTGTCTGCTGCCAGCGGGAAGGGCTCGGGGCGATCGATTACCATGAGCCGATGTGAGTATCGGTGGGAAGCTCTGGGTGTGAGGAGATGTGAGTATCTCTGTTTTCGTTCTTGTTTTTTTCGTTCCCCGTTCCTTTCCCCCCCAGCCATCTCAGCCACGCCATCACTCACCAGCTCTGCCAACATCTCCCAGCCATGTGAGGCGAGGTTGTTTTTGAGACGTCTCAAAAACGCCATCTCTCACCAGCTCTGCCAACATCTCCCAGCCATCTTTTGAGGCGCCTCAAAAGCCACGCCATCTCTCACCAGCTCTGGCAACATCTCCCAGCCATCTATAGACCTGCTGCCCACAGCACAACCCTCGCTTTCTTCTCTCATACTTCCCCATCCCCAAACCCCAACCCCCCGCTTCCCCACCCACCCACCCCCCAGCCATCTCAGCGACCCCATCACTCACCAGCTCTGCCAATCTGTCCCAGCCATCAGTAGACGTGCTGCCCACAGCACAACCCTCCATTCCGTCTCTTACCCCCCAATACTGCCTTCCCACCCCCCACCATCCCCGTTCCCCGCCCCCCAGCCATCTCTGCCACGCCATCGCTCACCAGCTCTGCCAATCTGTCCCAGCCATCAGTAGACGTCTTGCCAACAGCGCAGCGCTCGGTGCGCTGCCTGGGGCCCGTCGAAGGGTACTCGTTAGAGGCTGCAGATGTGGCGTCTGTGTGCAAGCAGTTTGCACGCATGCTCTGCACCAACACCATTCAGCGCGCCCTTAAGTGAGATGTCTTTTCTTTGTCTTCTTTCCTGCTTTTTTCTTTTCTTTTCTTTTAGTTCCTTTTGTGTGTGTATAAGAACTTCCATCTTCGCTTTTCAGATTCAGAATCAATCTCTGCAGAAACTTGTGTATTCCGTCACAAAAACGCTCTGCAATGTGTGATGCCGAATTGGACTTGTGTATTCCGTCACAAAAACGCTCTGCAATGTGTGATGCCGAATTGGACTTGTGTATTCCGTCACAAAAACGCTCTGCAATGTGTGATGCCGAATTGGACTTGTGTATTCCGTCACAAAAACGCTCTGCAATGTGTGATGCCGAATTGGACTTGTGTATTCCGTCACAAAAACGCTCTGCAATGTGTGATGCCGAATTGGACTTGTGTATTCCGTCACAAAAACGCAACCGTAAAAGCTGCCTTCACATCGTGCGCTCTGCCCGTCAAATAAACTATGCTTTCTCCCCCCCCCCCCCCCACATGCCCTCTCCCCGCCTCAACCTCTCCCCATCTGTGCTTCCTTCTAATCACCTCCAGCGAAATATGCTACAACAGACGAACGCACGCCGCCCGCACGATCCAGCTGGCGTTCCGGCGGTACTTGAGGCGAAAGCTCGGTCTCTCTGTAGAGGATGTATTTAAAGCGGTTCGGAACAGGCGCATGGCGGCGGTGCTTAACAAAGCACAGGAGATACGAGCTAATAGTGCGCTTAATGGTACTGCTGCTGCTGCCGCTGCTTTGGCCGTTGCTGCTGCTGGGAGTGCGAGTGTGGCCGCAAGTGGGAGGAGCAGTGATTCGGAGAAGGCAAGGGGGGAGGAGGAGAAAGGGGAGAAGGGAGAAGGGAAGGTGAGGTTTGCTGTGGATAAAGGAGACAGTGGGCGCGACAAAAAATCGGAGTAATTTTAAATATATGTCCGTTGATCCTTGCTAAATCTGGCGCCATGCCTTACTAGCCAATACAATGGTTGGGTGTTGAACCATTGTCATTAACTGACTGTTCGCATGCATAATTTATTCCACTGGTTTGCAATTTTGAGTTGCCTAATTTGTCCCTCCAAAGGCTGCACTATATTCTATGCTCAGCCGTGAAGCGGCTCTCACTGAGGCGAGTCTAGCTGCAAGTCGCCATGTCATTCGACGACGCAGCGCTTTTCTTCAGTAAGCGACAAGCTGGAACTCATTGTGGACCGTCAGCGACAGCTCGGTTCATCGCAAGCACACATCGGCCATTAATTTACCGCCACATTTTCGGTCGTCAGCTACACATGATGCTCGTTTGACTAACCCAAGGTTGCCTTGTAAAGGGGGCATTTAATGGTTCTAGTCATTTCGCAAGTTTCGTCAACGTCGCACCTAGCAAAAAAGGGCTTATAAAAAAATTGTAACTCTTCGTTGACTTTTTGACTTCAGTCTCTTCAGATATTCTTTGGTTTCTGTGGTTACTATTGGTTCATAGCCAATGCAGCTTGCTCGGGGTGCTTGTATCGTGGGTGCAGCTAGCTGGCGCAAAATACACGGGTGCAGACTTTCTGGCGCGTGCCGGGCAAATTCGCGCGCAGCAGTTGAGCATCATGTGTAAACACATTATCGTAAAGGTTGAGAATTGAGCAGTGATTGATTGATTCGTGCCGACAAATCGATTTGTACTGGACGTCGGCGATTAGCATGGGTGGCGGAAGGAAGCGGAGGGTGTTTGGAGGGAGTAGGGGGAATTGGTGAGGAGCATCTGTGCGATGCTGCTGTTGTTTTTCGCTCGTAGTCGTATGGACACACGTGGAATCGCACGAGGATTTATCATCGTCGCGAATTTCGTTCACCCCGCTTCTGGATCGCCTGCTTTACCCCACTTTGCAGAGAAGGGAGGAGCAGGAATATAGACGAGCGAATCGCCGGGAATACCGAGGGTGGGGGCAAATTTGCGCGATTTGAAAAACAGACGGAAACCGTCCCCAAGCGAGTCAACTAATCGCCACCAGCAGCAGCGCCAACCCAATGGCCCTCCCTCCCTCCCTGCCCGAAACACCCAGCGACCAACCAACAACCCAAGAAACCAAAGCAACAACCACAAGCGGTCGAGTCGATGCACTGTGCGACAGCGACGGAAAACATGAAACGAACTTTTCAAAAACAACAACTCGAGTGTGAGGGTGCATTCCTGGTTGGTGGCAGGGCAACTGTTCACATCGAGTTGGTGGCAAGTGTACCCAAAAATTCAGTGGGCCGGAAAATGCGCTTGCCACCAACAGTTGCCCTGCCACCAACTCAGGAATGCACCCTGAGAAAGGGATCATATTCCCCCCTTTCGTCCAAAAACGGAAATTCTGAAGGGAGGAGGGAGCAACTCTGCTGGTGGAACCTGGTCGACTCACCGCCATGGCCACCGTTCCCGCGTCGCACGTCGTTCGCGCGCGAGGTGCATCGTCCGTGCCGTCCTCGCGCAGTAGGGTAACCAGCTACTCGTCCGAAGCCTCCTTTCGCGAAGCGTCGCATGGGCCGTTTCTCCCGCCCCGCTCCCGTCGATTAAAGCCTTTAATCGCTATATCATCCGATCCCAGCCATTGCGCGTTGCGAACATCCCAGCCACTCAAAAGCCGCCACGTGGCGTCATCTGGACTTTCAGAACCCGCAGCGCGAGTTTCTGTGCCAGTAACGAACGGCAGTGTTGCTCCCGAAGCGCGTAGCCCCTCAATCTCAGTGGAAAAGTTCCCGCTAACAAAACCAGCTTCAGTAGAGTCATCTACCTTTGATGCCAAGAGCTTACTCATAAAGGCTAATAGCGTGGATATTGGTACACCGTCATCGCGCGTCGCTTCGTCACGTGGAGCTACTTATAACGGGGATCGCGATGTTAGCAAGTTGAACTTCGACCCCGATATCGGAACACATCAGAACACCAGTGCAACCGCTTTAGTCACAGCCGTGCGTCGGGTTCTCGGGCAGTGGCGACACGAACTTTCGCGGAAGATGCATTGCGACACCGTAGGCTCCTCCTCTACTTCCTCCTCCTCCTCCTCTCCGCTCCCTTCCTATTCCCAGGAATCAACGGTTCCATTTTTCCGGCAATCAGCGGCTTCTGGTTGGCGGAAACTAGCCGCGTCAGCGTCGATCGCTATGTTCCTTCTCTCCTCCTCCCCGATTCCCGCTCTCGCTTACGTGGCGGCGCCTCCGCGCACGCTTTCCCAAGATGAGATCGCGACCGTCCGATTGTTCAAGGAGACGACGCCATCCGTCGTGAACATTACGAACCTCGGCGTGGGTCGCGACGCGCTGACGCTCGACGTGCTGGCGGTGCCGCAAGGGTCGGGGAGCGGGTTCATATGGGACGAGATGGGACATATCGTGACCAACTACCACGTAATCGCTAATGCCGCTGACCTCAGGTAAGTGGATGGGTGGAATGCGGTGGAATAAGGACTTGGCAGCGGGTTCATGTCAGACGAAGTGGGGCACATCGTTGCCAACTACCACGTGAATAAGGAAATGCCAGTGCTGCTGATCATCTCCTTTTCCCCCATTTGATCTCACAGGGTAACCCTTTTTGTTTGAGGTTGATTTTGAGAATTCTCAAAATCAACCATTTGATCACACAGGGTAACCCTTTCAGACTCCTCAGTGCATGCAGCGGGTGTGGGGTGAGACGAGGTCAAGGACGTGGCGGTGCCACAGGCAACCACCTCCCCTTCAACCTCTTTCCCACCTCCTCACTTCATTTATTTATGGCACGCACGCACATGCGTGGTGGTGGTGGTGGTGGGGTGTGACGAGGACAAGGACGTGGCAGTGCTGCGAATCAACTCTCAGTCTCTCCCCTCTCTCCACTCTCCCCATCACTTCCATTCCTTTTATGTCCCCAGCACATTGCGACACAGAGTCACACTCTCAGACTCCTCAGTGCATGCAGCAGTGGTGGTGGGGTGCGATGAGGATAAGGACATGGCAGTGTTGCCGATTGACCTCTCTCCATTCATTTGTGTTCCTTGTATTGTTGCCCGTGTGACTGCAACCCACCCCACAGAGTGACCCTCTCAGACTCCTCGGTGCATGCAGCGGTGGTGGTGGGCTGTGATGAGGACAAGGACGTGGCAGTTCTGCGAATCGACGCCCCTCAGGAGTCGCTCCACCCGGTTACCATCGGATCGTCGTCAGATTTGATGGTCGGGCAACGGGTTTTCGCCATTGGTAACCCCGTGAGTCACACTCTTAACCCCCCCTCTCTTACTCACTCCACCCTCCCCCCCTCTCTCTCCCCCACCTCATCTCTCCTGTTCTGCATGATCCTTGGTCCCGTACACCAGTCATTACCAAGAGGAGCAATAGATTCCAAGAATCTCACCCCGTTGTGCTTGGTCCTTGCTTGTTTGTCTTTTTCTTCACCGTTTGGGCTCGACCACACGCTCACATAAGGCGGCTCTTGAGACGGCTTAAAAGCCCTACAATCCCCCCACCCCTTTCCCTCCCCCTTCCCCCCTTGGCCCTTGCTTGTGTCTTGTTCCCCACAGTTTGGGCTCGACCACACTCTCACATCAGGCGTCATCAGGTCAGTGTAATGTACCTAACGAGTATCAGGTCAGTGTAATGTAACTAACGAGTATCAGGTCCGTGTAATGTAACTAACGAGTATCAGGTCCGTTTGTATAGGGACGCCCGCAAGCCTAGATTCTCGTCACTTGTTTTACCTTTAAGCTCCCGGAAGGCTATGCAACTGACATGCAATTTCCTTCTTCATCTTCTCCCTTCACAGCAGCCTTGAAACACTTTCTTTTATCCACTCTCTTTCTTCCTCATAATCAACCTTTCTCCTTCCCTTTCTCTCCTCCACCTCCTCCGGCCTCCCCATCCATCTCACCAGCGGTTTGAGGAGAGAGATCCAATCAGCAGCAACAGGGCGGCCAATACAGGGGGTGATACAAACGGATGCTGCTATAAATCCGGGCAACAGCGGTGGGCCTCTTTTGGACTCTAGTGGCAGTCTAATCGGCATCAATACGGCTATATATTCACCTTCGGGTGCTTCTTCTGGTGTCGGATTTGCCATTCCTGCCGACAGTGTGAGTCATGCTGACTGTGCCTATAGCGAGATGCGCTAGTCGAGAGTGCAGTCCTTCACATGGCTATAAAATCACCCTCCGGCTGGGATTTTTTTTTTACGACGCAAAAACTTACCTCCCATTAAAGAACAGTCATTCCCCTCCCCCCACCCTCACAACCGCCTCCCTCCCCTCGTGCTCTATTACCCCAACCCCGCAGATCAGCGGCATCGTGGAGCAGATAATAGAGAATGGGAGGGTGGTGCGGCCGGTGCTGGGGATCTCCTTTGCGCCCGAGGAGGCGGTGGAGAAGCTGGGCGTTGACGGGGTGCTCGTGCTCGATGCCCCGCCCTCGGGGCCTGCAGGCAAAGCCGTGAGTTCATGTGTACAGTGATTGTAGCTTATACTATATCACCTTTGTTCGCTGCTGGGCATCTCCTATGCGCCCAAGGAGGCGGTGAAGTTGGGCATCGACGGGGTGGTCGTGCTTGACGCCCCTCCCTCCGGGCCCGCAGGCAAAGCTGTGAGTCTGTGTGTACAGTGTAGGGTACTGCTCCAATCTCTTTTGTTTGCTGCATTCATATAGTTTTTCTGTTGTGAATACTGTGTTCTGTGCTTGTTTTTGTCTCTTTGCTCAGGGTCTCCGGCCCACATCGAGAGACAACTACGGTCGGCTGGTATTGGGAGACATCATTACCGCTATTGACAACCATAAAGTGCGGAGCGGAACGGACCTCTATCGGGCACTTGATGATTGCCAAGTGGGAGACACAGTAAGTGCACATCCAGTCATCTACAAGGTGTTGTACGGTCTTCTTAGTGATTTTTTGCTAATGATTTGCAAACACATTGTGTGCAGGTTGCTGTTACAGTACTGAGGGGGGATAGTGAAGTGACAGTTAATGTAGTACTAGAGGCAAAGGACTAGTTGTCAGGTTGTGACAGGGTGTTGTTGCCTTATAAATATTAGTGCCATTAGCTAAAATCTAGCTGCTGAAGATAACTATAGGCAGTGGTACCGTATTTGTAATTTAATCACTGTACACCTACGAGAACTTTGCGGTGGTGCATTTCGTCTGGAACATGCTCAGCCGCATCTGTGGGTTTGCGACCAAGGTTCTAGGTTGAGGTGAGGGCTAGGCATAGCCTTGAATCGATATAAGCGCTGGTTGAGTGAAATACACACTGCAATTGTCCCCCCAGTGGCCGAGATATCGATACTGTCACATATTCGTCACTACTCTGGGAAAAGTTTTTCCACCGGCCTAGGATCAGCGCCCAGGAAGTGGCATTTCACCTCGCGTGTTCGGCGGCATCATCGTGCGTCTCCATATACCAACGCGGCTCGAAATGCGGCGCTGCGTCCCTGAAATCCAAACCAAACTCTGCTGAATGCATAAATTCGACATTTCAGCCTCGAAAGAGACATTCCGCAGCACACAGCCATTTGTCGAGCAACTCGAACACCGAATCCATTCGCCAGCACACTCAAGTTTTCAGCTTTTCTACTCAAGCCAGAAAAGGGCCGCTATGGCTCAGAAAATCGCCATCTTCGTCATCACGTTGGCATGCCTCGCCGCAGTCGGTACGTCATCGAGCAAGATTTCTTTTTACATACACATTTCTGACGTGCATGCACTGTGAATGCATCAGAAAGCGATGCTGTGAAATATGTCATAACGCAGAAACTGACGCGTTCGTGAATGTTTTTGCAGGATTCGCGCGTCCGCCGGCGAGAGTTCGCGCCGGGCTTCAGAAGATCGAGAAGAATGACGTGTTCATGGGAGTGTATCAGGGATCGCTCTATGCTGAGCTGGACCACGTGGACGGCGCCGACAAGATGTCGGACGGCTATGCGTACATGGCGATCTACAAGTAAGATTTGATAAATATGTTTTTTAGAGATTTCCCTCATCCCAAGACAAAAAACAATCACAATCGCTTATTCAGAGTCATGTTTCTACATGGCCCATCGTAAAATTTATTTTCATTTTCAAGATACTGATCCGTACTTATCGCGTTTCGAATGGCTTCCAGGAAGGGCGACGATTACAACATCCGATACGGCGCGGAGGCCGAATCCAAGGAGCCCGGGGAGCCCACCGCGTTCACAATCAACAGCGCGGCCGACAACAGCCTTGTTATCGACCTGGGCGCCGGCCAGACATACAAGAACACCACGTACGAGCTCCGCGTGTTCAAGTTCCTGCAGAAGTTCGTCCCGTACTCGTACAGGTTCAAGGGCAAGTGGACCCCGGCCAGCAGTGTTACCGTCGCCGCTGGCCCGCTTAAGGACACCGTTGACGCCATGATTCAGAACCCTAAGAACTACTACGCGATTTTCAACACGGCGACGAACCCTGCTGGTTGCGCCAAGGGCGCGTTTGATTTCATCCAGCCGTGGTGGAAGCGCCTGTAAGCACGGCCGGGGATCTGAAGAAGAGCTGTTGAGAAGATTTGTAGAGAGTGCAGGCATATGCAACGTCTTAGTTCACTCCCTTGGTGAACATTTCCCTCCATTTGCTGGGTTTTTCTTTTTTGTGGTGGATTGTTGTCTGAGTGGAAGTTGTAGCCTGATCATCTTATTTTGAATTTCCCATACTTTTACAAAGCTTCATCACACAAAACCATATAAAGGAAATAAGAAATTGGTGTTTGAATGCTGAACTCAGCTTAGGACAGGGAGTCCAATGTATTAGTGTTGTGGGCAAGGTCTAGCGGATCATGTTATACAGCCATATGTGATCTAATTCGTTAACCGCAATACGAAGCGGAGGGTTGGAACTTGGAAGGTTATCCATGAAGGGTACTCTTGTGCTGATAGGACGAAGCAAGAAGATGGCAACAGGTGGTGCTGATTCAGGTCAATACACGTCATCGCCACCTGATTCCAACATTCGGGTTTCGGGATGTGGAATGGATGGAAAGCCAGAACTTCCACCATTTTATCAGGCATATTTTTATCGCGTAGTTCAGATTATAAACTATATCGGTGTCTTAAGTTGATAAACGCTACGTGTCTTTAATAAAATGGCATAGAATGTTTTGTTCGTTGCATAGAGGAATAACCAATCTAGTAGAGATAACTTCAACTATACATGTTTTGTTTTGTCTTTTTGGGTAGTGCATCTGGAGTTTCTCAAAGTTATTTTCATCCGGACAGATCAGCCCGAGAAGGGCAACAGGTTTCGGAATTTCTCGCCATCTCGATGACTGCAAGAGTCAAGCACAGCAGAACCACATTCCGTCGAACCAGGGAAATTCTGGAAGTGAGAAATTCCAGTCTCCAGATCCGAGGCAGATTCAGGAAGCCTGGAGAATTCTTAGCACTACACAAGATGCCCGTTTGACTAGCCCAAGGTTGCCTTGTAAAGAAAGCTCTTAAGTGATCCTTGTTTTTCGCTTAGTGTTCGTTAATTCGCACTTAACAAAAAGGGCTTTTATTAGATTTTGTAACTCTTTGTTGACTGTTTGACGTTGGTCTCTTCTGTCAAACTTCGGTTTTTGTGGTTCGTATTGCTCGAGGTGCTTGTCAATGGGGTGCAACTGCTTGCACCCTAATACACGGGTGCAGAGTTTCCATTGTGAGCAGGGCGAATTCGCGCGCAGGGGTTTGGCATCTTGTGTATTTCATCAGCCGTCTTCGTACTTGGCTTCACTGTCCCGTGCCACAGAGAACGAATTCAGAATCCGGAATCCGTTCCATGGTGATTTCGCTTTGTGTTTTCCTTAGGCCCTATTTCGGAAGCTAGTCTACCCCTCTCGTCAAGATGGCGTCGGTGCTGCTGCCTACGTCCGTGAAGCCTAAAAAGTATGTGCTGCATCTGGAGCCGAATCTGGAGACCTTCAAGTTCAAGGGCATCGTGACCGTAGATTTGGACGTGGTTGAGCCGACGAATGAGATTCGGTTCCATGCGCAGGAGTTGGAGCTGCATAAGGTAGGCGAATAGCAACTGAACTGGTTTTGATGTCCTTACGGAAACGCGCAAGGTTCCGATAGTTACGTTATTATCTTCATTTTTAAGTCGTTGAAGTAAAGTTGAAAGTAAATATTTATTGACCTAATTCGTTTCAGTGTCAGAATGAAGACATAGGGTGAGCGGATTGACACTGAATCTGTTTCAGTGACTTTTAAAGAAGGCGTACAGTGAGCAGGTTGTCACTGAATTTGTTTTTAATGTCCCAAAAAGAGGCATACGGTGAGCTGTTTGTCACTGATTTCGTTTCAATGTCTTAGGAAAAAGGCTACGGTGAGGGAATCGTCACTAAATTTGTTTCATTGTCTCAGAATTTGGATTTGGTTAGCGGATGGCCACTGAATTTGTTTCAATGGTTCAGAAATCATACGTTCGGAGCGGATTGTCGCTAAATCTGTTTCAGTGTCTCAGGAAGAAGACATACGGTGAGCGGATTGTGACGACCAGCGGATGGAATACCAGCGGTGTCTAACATGGAATTGCAGATGCTGTTCTGGGATGCTCTCTCACCCTGCCTGCTCGCCACAATCCCCTTCAGGTGGAACTAACAACAGGTGGCAAGCTCTTCACAGCAGGAGCGAATGGAGTGCCAGCAGTGGAGCTGGATGCGGAAAGGCAGGAAGGGAGGATTATCAGCTGTTGTATGCTCTTTCGCCCTGCCTCCTCCGCACTATTTCTTTTTCGTCAGGTGGAGCTGACAACAGGGGGCAAGCTTCTTACAGCAGGAGTGGATGGAGTGCCGGCGGTGGAGCTGGACAAGGAGAGGCAGGAAGGGAAGTTGGTGCTGGGGGAAGGGCAGACGATGAGCACGGGGCCTGCGAAGCTCAGAATCGAATACACTGGCATTCACAACGACAACATGGTCGGCTTCTACCGTAAGTGCTGTTTTGGGTACATAGTGTGACGGCCAGAAACAGTAAGGAGAGGCAGGAAGGGAAGTTGGTGCTGGGGGAAGGGCAGACGATGAGCACGGGGCCTGCGAAGCTCAGGATTTGAGTACACGGGCATCCACAACGACAACATGGTCGGCTTCTACCGTGAGTGTCGATCGGAGTAAGTAGGGGAGGAAGTTCAGTTGAAGTGCTTTCTGAAGCAGTGGATGGTGATCATTAGATTCGAACCAGTAGGAACGTGCCAATCCGTTTCTTGCTGAGGGAAGCTGATGAAAACAACCGTCCGCGCTCCCCATTTCCTTTCACTTTCCCCTTTCAGGTGCATCCTACACCCAAGACAGCCAGAAGAAGTGGATGGTAACCACGCAGTTCGAACCAGTAGGAGCGCGCCAAGCCTTGCCCTGCTGGGACGAGCCCGCTGCCAAAGCCACGTTCGAGGTGTCACTGCGCGTGCCGACCGGGTTGCAAGGCTTGTCCAACATGGACGAGGTTGGGCGGGAGAAGCAGGCGGACGGGTCCGAGGTGGTTCGGTTCGCAGAGAGCCCGGTTATGAGCACATACCTGCTGGCGTTCGTGGTGGGGGAGGTGGAGTGTGTTTCTGACAAGACAAGCAATGGCACTTTGGTGAGAATGGGATAAGGCCGGGGATGAACGGTTGGATAGGGTGTGGTATGAGGGTGGCTCGATTAGCTGAGAACCCAGTTGTGAGCACGTACCTGCTGGTGTTCGTGGTGGGGGAGGTGGAGTGAGTTTCTGACAAGACGAGCAATGGCACTCTGGTGAGAATGGGAAAGCTTGTTGCGGCATGATTGCAGGGGGGGGTGTGGTTGTACAGGTGTGGTTCGGTTTGCAGAGAGCCCTGTGATGAGCACTTACCTGCTGGCATTCGTGGTGGGGGAGGTGGAGTGTGTGTCAGAAAAGACCAGCAATGGCACTCTGGCTAGAGTGGGAAGGGGATATGTAATTGCATGTAAGTGGAAAAGATATCATGGGTTTGTTTCCAATCAGTGGGATCTTGGTGACTGTATGTGAGTGGATTAGGAATCATGTGATAGTATGGGGTGTGATTGTATATGCATCTAAGCCCACATGTTCATGCTGTACTGTTCCTATATTGGTTGGTGCGTCCAGGTGAACATCTACACGACGCCAGGGAGGAAGGAGCAAGGAAGGTTCGCCCTGTCAGTGGCGTGCAAGGTGATCACGTTCTTTGAGGACTACTTCGGAATCAAGTACCCCCTGCCCAAGGCCGACCTCATTGGTGAGTTTTGAGGCGCTGTGCGGGTGGTCACCAGCATACCTCAAAGGACGCTTGGTGGCGCGCATTGCAAGGTGATCACGTTCTTTGAGGACTACTTCGGAATCAAGTACCCTCTGCCCAAGGCCGACCTGATTGGTGAGTTTTCTCACTGACTCCCCGCCGTTCCTTACTTGACTCCCTTCTCCACATGCCATGTTTGTGTAGCCATCCCGGACTTCGCCATGGGAGCCATTTAGAACTGGGGCCTCATCACGTTCAGGGAGACGGCTCTCTCATGCGTTCCCACTCTCATCATTCCGTATGTGTTCGGCTCCTTTCCCCTTGTACCATGTGCATGCAGCCATCCCGGACTTCGCCATGGGAGCCATGGAGAACCGGGGCCTCATCACGTTCAGGGAGACGGCTCTCTCATGCGTTCCCACTCTCATCATTCCGTATGTGTTTGGCTCCTTTCCCCTTGTACCATGTGCATGCAGCCATCCCGGACTTCGCCATGGGAGCCATGGAGAACTGGGGCCTCATCACGTTCAGGGAGACGGCTCTCTCATGCGTTCCCACTCTCATCATTCCATATGTGTTCGGCTCCTTTCCCCTTGTACCATGTGCATGCAGCCATCCTGGACTTCGCCATGGGAGCCATGGAGAACCGGGGCCTCATCACGTTCAGGGAGACGGCTCTCTCATGCGTTCCCACTCTCATCATTCCGTATGTGTTTGGCTCCTTTCCCCTTGTACCATGTGCATGCAGCCATCCCGGACTTCGCCATGGGAGCCATGGAGAACCGGGGCCTCATCACGTTCAGGGAGACGGCTCTCTCATGCGTTCCCACTCTCATCATTCCGTATGTGTTTGGCTCCTTTCCCCTTGTACCATGTGCATGCAGCCATCCCGGACTTCGCCATGGGAGCCATGGAGAACTGGGGCCTCATCACGTTCAGGGAGACGGCACTGCTGCTGGATGAGAACAGCGCACCTGCTGCCACCAAGCAGCGTGTGGCTTACGTCATCTCGCACGAGTTGGCCCACCAGGTAGGCTAAGGAGGGGCCAACCATGGAGAAAAAATGATATGGGAGAAAGAATTATATCCTGCATACACCAACGTCTGCCACTTCCCTGCTAATTTCTACTCTCATCCGATCCCATTTCTATTTCCCCCCTCGTCGCCCTGCCTCTGCTTCCCCATTTCCCCAACCCCATTGTCCAACCCCTCCTTTTCCTCCCCTCTCAACTCCCACCGCTCCGCAGTCGTTTGGTAACCTGGTAACCATGCAGTGGTGGAACGACCTGTGGTTGAACGAGGGCTTCGCCACGTGGGTGGGCTGGCTGGGAGTGGACTACATCTTCCCCCTTCATATGAAGTGCTGGAACGACCTGTGCCCCCTTTACCCTTTCTCCCCCCTCCCCTCTGCCCTTTCCGCCCCTGTTTCTCCCCCTTCTTCCCCACCCCCCTGTCGCTCCCCTCAACCCGGAACCCATGCCCCACCGCTCTCCAGTGGTTTGGTAACCTGGTAACCATGCAGTGGTGGAACGACCTGTGGTTGAACGAGGGCTTCGCCACGTGGGTGGGCTGGCTGGGGGTGGACTACATCTTTCGCCGCATGTCCTATGCCTGGATCTCCCCTCATATGCCCTTCACTCCCCTTTCTCCCCACTCCTCCCTGCCCTTTCCACCCCCCACCCCCTGCCCTTTCCACCCCCCACCCCCGTTTCTCCCCCCACCCTCTCCCGCCTCTCCTTTTTCTCCCGTCAACCCCCAATCCCAACCTCTACCACACGTCACTACTGCAGTGGTTTGGTAACCTGGTAACCATGCAGTGGTGGAACGACCTGTGGCTGAACGAGGGCTTCGCCACGTGGGTGGGCTGGCTGGGCGTGGACTACATCTTTCCCGAGTGGGACGTGTGGACGCAGTTCGCCTGCAATGACATGGACACGTGCCTGCACACTGACGCCCTGCTGGGCTCTCACCCTGTTGAAGTGCCCATCAACGACCCCAAGGAGATCGAGCAGGTGAGCGCTGTGAGGGTTGGGAGCGGTGGAATCCGTTGGGTTGGGGTGGGATGGGGTGGGATGGGGTGGGATGCGGTGGGATGCGGTGAGAGTGGCTAGTGGGGGAGGGGGCTGGCTGGGGGTGGACTACATCTTCTCCGAGTGGGACGTGTGGACGCAGTCCGCCTGCAATGACATGGACACGTGCCTGCACACTGACGCCGTGCTGGGCTCTCACCCCGTTGAAGTGCCCATCAACGACCCCAAGGAGATCGAGCAGGTCAGTGCGGGGGGGTTGGGAGGGGGGTGATGTGATGGGATGGGATGGGATAGGATAAGATGGGACGGGAGTGAACATTTGTTTCTTACCTTTATTCTTATTTCTTATTTATCCTATGCGCATCCCGCCAGGTGTTTGACGCCCTGAGCTACTCCAAGGGCGCATGTGTCATTCGGCAGCTGGAGTCCGCCATTGGTGCCGACGCCTTCAAGAAGGTCCGTGCGTGTGTGCTTACCTTCCTCACTGGGGAATTTGCACAGGGAGGGTCGAGCAATAGGGAGATTTGCACAGGGGGGTTTGCCCGGGGAGGTCCGCGGGAGGGGGGGGGGGGATAGCATGGGGGTATTTGCGCAGGCAGTGCAGGTTGCATGCATGCACTAGTTGCTGTCACTTCAGCGCTGACCTACTCCAAGGGCGCATGTGTCATTCGGCAGCTGAAGGCCGCCATTGGAGTTGACGCCTTCAAGAAGGTGAGTTTGTGCGTGCACTCACAGTGAGTTTGTGCGTGCACTCACAGTGAGTTTGTGCGTGCACTCACAGTGAGTTTGTGCGTGCACTCACAGTGAGTTTGTGCGTGCACTCACAGTGAGTTTGTGCGTGCACTCACAGTGAGTTTGTGCGTGCACTCACAGTGAGTTTGTGCGTGCACTCACAGTGAGTTTGTGCGTGCACTCACAGTGAGTTTGTGCGTGCACTCACAGTGAGTTTGTGCGTGCACTCACAGTGAGTTTGTGCGTGCACTCACAGTGAGTTTGTGCGTGCACTCACAGTGAGTTTGTGCGTGCACTCACAGTGAGTTTGTGCGTGCACTCACAGTGAGTTTGTGCGTGCACTCACAGTGAGTTTGTGCGTGCACTCACAGTGAGTTTGTGCGTGCACTCACAGTGAGTTTGTGCGTGCACTCACAGTGAGTTTGTGCGTGCACTCACAGTGAGTTTGTGCGTGCACTCACAGTGAGTTTGTGCGTGCACTCACAGTGAGTTTGTGCGTGCACTCACAGTGAGTTTGTGCGTGCACTCACAGTGAGTTTGTGCGTGCACTCACAGTGAGTTTGTGCGTGCACTCACAGTGAGTTTGTGCGTGCACTCACAGTGAGTTTGTGCGTGCACTCACAGTGAGTTTGTGCGTGCACTCACAGTGAGTTTGTGCGTGCACTCACAGTGAGTTTGTGCGTGCACTCACAGTGAGTTTGTGCGTGCACTCACAGTGAGTTTGTGCGTGCACTCACAGTGAGTTTGTGCGTGCACTCACAGTGAGTTTGTGCGTGCACTCACAGTGAGTTTGTGCGTGCACTCACAGTGAGTTTGTGCGTGCACTCACAGTGAGTTTGTGCGTGCACTCACAGTGAGTTTGTGCGTGCACTCACAGTGAGTTTGTGCGTGCACTCACAGTGAGTTTGTGCGTGCACTCACAGTGAGTTTGTGCGTGCACTCACAGTGAGTCGCACCGGAAGGGGGAGGGTGCAGCTCTCGCGCTGACGCGCTGAGCTACTCCAAGGGCGCATGTGTCATTCGGCAGCTGGAGGCGGCCGCCATCGGAGCCAACGGTCTTCAAGGAACGCCGGTGCATGCTCGCACAAAGGGGGGAAGTACAAGGTTATTTGTACAGGAGAAGGTGCTCAGGGGTAGTTGCACAGGAGAAGGTGCTCAGGGGTAGTTGCACAGGAGAAGGTGCTCAGGGGTAGTTGCACAGGAGAAGGTGCTCAGGGGTAGTTGCACAGGAGAAGGTGCTCAGGGGTAGTTGCACAGGAGAAGGTGCTCAGGGGTAGTTGCACAGGAGAAGGTGCTCAGGGGTAGTTGCACAGGAGAAGGTGCTCAGGGGTAGTTGCACAGGAGAAGGTGCTCAGGGGTAGTTGCACTGGAGAAGGTGCTCAGGGGTAGTTGCACAGGAGAAGGTGCTCAGGGGTAGTTGCACAGGAGAAGGTGCTCAGGGGTAGTTGCACAGGAGAAGGTGCTCAGGGGTAGTTGCACAGGAGAAGGTGCTCAGGGGTAGTTGCACAGGAGAAGGTGCTCAGGGGTAGTTGCACAGGAGAAGGTGCTCAGGGGTAGTTGCACAGGAGAAGGTGCTCAGGGGTAGTTGCACAGGAGAAGGTGCTCAGGGGTAGTTGCACAGGAGAAGGTGCTCAGGGGTAGTTGCACAGGAGAAGGTGCTCAGGGGTAGTTGCACAGGAGAAGGTGCTCAGGGGTAGTTGCACAGGAGAAGGTGCTCAGGGGTAGTTGCACAGGAGAAGGTGCTCAGGGGTAGTTGCACAGGAGAAGGTGCTCAGGGGTAGTTGCACAGGAGAAGGTGCTCAGGGGTAGTTGCACAGGAGAAGGTGCTCAGGGGTAGTTGCACAGGAGAAGGTGCTCAGGGGTAGTTGCACAGGAGAAGGTGCTCAGGGGTAGTTGCACAGGAGAAGGTGCTCAGGGGTAGTTGCACAGGAGAAGGTGCTCAGGGGTAGTTGCACAGGAGAAGGTGCTCAGGGGTAGTTGCACAGGAGAAGGTGCTCAGGGGTAGTTGCACAGGAGAAGGTGCTCAGGGGTAGTTGCACAGGAGAAGGTGCTCAGGGGTAGTTGCACAGGAGAAGGTGCTCAGGGGTAGTTGCACAGGAGAAGGTGCTCAGGGGTAGTTGCACAGGAGAAGGTGCTCAGGGGTAGTTGCACAGGAGAAGGTGCTCAGGGGTAGTTGCACAGGAGAAGGTGCTCAGGGGTAGTTGCACAGGAGAAGGTGCTCAGGGGTAGTTGCACAGGAGAAGGTGCTCAGGGGTAGTTGCACAGGAGAAGGTGCTCAGGGGTAGTTGCACAGGAGAAGGTGCTCAGGGGTAGTTGCACAGGAGAAGGTGCTCAGGGGTAGTTGCACAGGAGAAGGTGCTCAGGGGTAGTTGCACAGGAGAAGGTGCTCAGGGGTAGTTGCACAGGAGAAGGTGCTCAGGGGTAGTTGCACAGGAGAAGGTGCTCAGGGGTAGTTGCACAGGAGAAGGTGCTCAGGGGTAGTTGCACAGGAGAAGGTGCTCAGGGGTAGTTGCACAGGAGAAGGTGCTCAGGGGTAGTTGCACAGGAGAAGGTGCTCAGGGGTAGTTGCACAGGAGAAGGTGCTCAGGGGTAGTTGCACAGGAGAAGGTGCTCAGGGGTAGTTGCACAGGAGAAGGTGCTCAGGGGTAGTTGCACAGGAGAAGGTGCTCAGGGGTAGTTGCACAGGAGCGGACTTTTGAGTCGACTCAAAAGTCAGGGGGGGAGGACAAGATTATCTGCACAGGAGACGCTGCTCAGGTCAGGGGTAGTTGTACAGGAGCGGTGACTCAAGGGGAGTAACACAGGGGGAATTGCACAGTGGGGTTTGCACAGGGGGAGCCGCCGAGGGGGAGTCGCCGAGGGGGAGTCGCCCAGGGGGAGTCGCCCAGGGGGAGTCGCCCAGGGGGAGTCGCCCAGGGGGAGTCGCCCAGGGGGAGTCGCCCAGGGGGAGTCGCACAGGGGGGGTCGCACAGGGGGGGTCGCACAGAGGCGATAATCACACCATGGGGCGATTAGCCTAATGCCTGCCTCTCCCATGGGGAGATTAGCCTAATGTCTGCCTCTCCCATTTCCTCCCCAGGGCCTGCACTCGTACCTTTCCAAGCACGCCTACGCCAACACCATCACCAACGACCTCTGGAACTCCCTCGCTGATGCTTCAGGCAAACCTGTTGTTGATCCAACAATTTTTTTGCTCTCACTCTTTCTCTCCACCTTTCCTCCTTCCTCCCGGTTCCCCACAGGGCCTACACTCGTACCTTTCCAAGCACGCCTACGCCAACACCGTCACCAACGACCTCTGGAACTCCCTTGCCGAGGCCTCGGGCAAGCCTGTCCGTGAGATGATGGTCAGTTGGACGGCCCAGATGGGCTATCCGCTCATCTCCATCCTGCCCCCTAGCCCAGGCAAGCAGGGAGTGCGTCTCAGGCAAACCCGGTTCCTCTCCAAGGGACCTCCCAGCGAAGCAGAGGACAAGCAGCTCTGGTGGGTGCCTGTGACTGCAACGACAGGGCGAGTGGGCGGAGGCGAGGGGAAGAAGCTTGATACGGTGGTTCTGTCGGAGAAGGAAGGGGAGGCGGAGGGGTTTGTGGTGCCAGAAGGGGAGGGCGGATGGCTGAGGGTGAATGCGGGGCAGACGGGGATCTTCCGGGTGAATTACACAGAGGAGCAGTGGAAGGGGATTTCGGCTGCTGTGGAGGCGCTGCAGCTGCCTGTTATCGACCGACTGGGTGAGTGCATGTGGGTGTGGGTGTGTTGTTGAAAATGCCCATTGTGATGCATGCATAATACACATCACGACTCACCACCATATGTCGATCACCTGTCGCGTTACCCCTCGCCTCCGTCTTCTCCTCTCACACTCTCTGCTTTCTTCTCTCCCCTTTTTGAGGCGCCTCAAAAAACTCTTCCCTTTTTGAGGCGCCTCAAAAAAATCGCGTTACCCCTCGTCTCCGTCTTCTCTTCTCACACTCTCTGCTTTCTTCTCTCCCCTTTTCTCTCCTCCTCCTTCTCTCACGCTCCACTCTCTCCTCCGCCGTTCTTATCAACAGGCTCGGCCATGGACGCATTTGCACTGGCCAAGGCGGGTACCATCAAGACCAGCCAGTTGCTGCCACTTTTCAGCCACCTCGCACCCCCCGCTCTTCTCCACACCCCTCCCTGCTCTCGCGTTCCCCTCCCTCGTTTCTATCCAATCCACAGGCTCTGTCATGGACGCATTTTCCCTGGCCAAGGCGGGCATCATCAAGACCAGCCAGGCAGTATTTCAGCTGTCATCACGTGCCCTCCTCCCTCTTGTGCTCACTCCCTTCGCTCTTCTCTATCCCAACTTCCAGGCTCTGTTATGGACGCCTTTGCCCTGGCAAAAGCGGGCATAATCAAGACCAGCCAGGCTCTGCAGCTGGCATGGGCGTTCAAGAACGAAACGGAGTGAGTCTTTATTCCGGGTTACTTACCATGCATCTTTATCAAGCATCATAGGATATGAGTACTTCCTCTGGTAAAGTTTT